TACAAAAAGCTTTCTAACATTATCCCATCCGAGCCAACTGTCTCTCCAAGATCCTGGAAATTTCTAAATTATCCATATGTCACCGCGTGTTCGCAACGCTAACGATCCGAGGATTAAACGAAATATCTCTTCATCGCTCGCGATCTTTCCGTTCCTTACGTTTTCCACGTTCGAACTCGCAAACCTCGGTGGTTCCCTTTCGAACCAATGATAATCCTCGATCAGGATCCTCGATCGAACTTCGCTTTCGGTGCCCAGGACTGTTCCGCCGTTCGCGCGGTCACCGATGAGCACCGCGCTCGTAAAATTAAGCGATCGTTACCGGTATAATCGGCGTAACAACTACGCCATCGCGATCGGCCGCGATTCCCGAGATTCTCGCGCGCCGATTATCCTGCGATCCATCGCGCGATACGTAAAAGCGTACGCCTAGTTTTTCCTCCTCCGCTTTCCATTTCGCCGGCGGTTTTCACTGTTAATTGACCGCGAGCCTCGGTCAATTAAACGGTTCACCGTGAAACGAGAGATAGAAATGAACGAGGAAAAAGGGGCGCCAGGGTTCGGATCGCATCTCGACGACTTTCTTAACGATACATTCGTACGTCGGCGATGACGGATAATTGTCGAAAATCTCGCGTGCTATTCGCATCCAGTTTGACGAGTGATCGAGCCGATAATAATGGAAAGCGGTCTTGTTTTTGCCTAGTTTAGACACAGCCGAACGATAAGTTTATTTTACACACGAATCTCTCGGCGAATCCCGTCCCTGCAGCTGCTTTCATCGTTGCTCTTCTTTTTTTTCGTTTCTTTTTACGTCTGCGATTATTATTATTATTCGTCCGTCGTTTAGCAACATGCCACGTAAAGAAATTCTACCTGTCCGTGCAAACGAAACTATTTCGTTTATTTGTCTTCGGTCGTGATCGTGTTTGATGTTGATTCATTAAATTTTAATGCCAGTCTTGATGCACGCTTAATATCGGGTTTCGCAGTTACCAAGCCGGTGAATTTTCATTACCGCCGATCTAAATAAGGATAATACACGTATTCGGCGTTTATGATATACATACGTCGTTTCGTAATTATTACAAACGCGAGCACGGCGATAGAGAATTAACGCGACGAAAGAAATTCGTTGAAAGCGGTGATCTTTCCTATTGTTATGATACAGAAATTATATGGTGCACGATTTCGCTGGAAACCGTTTAAAGAAAATCGCCGCAATTAGATTCGAAGAAACGAGCTGCTCTCGAGAATCTCATGAAACTTAATTTTTCCAACGATTAGCGACTTGAATTTACTGGCGCTGTTTCGCGTTGGCGCGCGCCTTGTTCAATTGTGTAAGGTAAACTGGACACGTCGGATTAGGCGAGCGACGTCGGTTTACGTTTTAATTTCAGAGACAACACTTGTTGCCTAGAGGCTGAGGGAAACACGTTTCTCTGGTCGTTAATGATGCTTGTACGTACAGGACGTTCAAATGAAATATCCCATGAAGTTTGAGAATTTTAAGAGACTGCGAAAATGTTGCGATTGCATCGGATGATACAGTTCTAATTATCTTACAATCGATTTTGTAAATGCATTATCTGGAACAATATAAAAATCCTTATTCCATGAATACAACGTAATTGAAGATTTATTTTATTTCTATTTTTCTGCAAACTTCCGAATCTCCGATAAAACTTAGAACTGATCTGTACAGAAACATGTATTATTTATATAATAATTCATCCATCAATAATATTTATGTAATAATTCCTGAAGTTAAACAATCTTTAAAGCATCCATTTAATCGCTCTACGTATATCCATCCTTCATTCTCCATCATGTTTCCTTCTCTGTCAATGACTTCTTTAATTACGTTGCTACCTGACATGGACTGATTAAGCAAATCTGCGGTTGGGTGCATCTCAACCGGAGGAAATGCATTCGCCTCTGCAGTTTCCTGGTTGCAGTCAGTCGTTTGCGAACTTCTGTCCGAGCGTTAGTGTTTCGGCTTCCCAGAAATGTCCTCGCGATCGAGACCGAGAAGCGGCGTTACTCCAGACAATAACCCAAGTTCTCAAGTAATGTGCAAAACAACGCTGCAAGACACCTCGGAGAAGTGTAACGAGCCGGATTGTTCCGTAAAACCTTTGAAATTCGAAATTCTCTGTAACTTTAACCCTTTGCTTTAAATAAATAGTTTTATTCGAGTACTATAATGAATGTCTGAAGAAACTGATAATAATCTATTGTTACAGTTTTCATAGGAATTGCATGTTAATCGTATTAAATGCTCGGCAGTTCTAGTGTTAACGGAAAGTTGTTATTTACAACGAAAGGGAATTAACCAGTTAACTGTATTCGACGAGTATACGCGTCATAAAGCTTGACACAATACGAATTCTTTATTTTTCCACATAAACATGTAATTTCTTTGTTTCGCTTTAATCTTTCATTAGAATATACTCTACGTGCATCCGTCCTGCTTTCCGAGAGGATTTTCCAGCAAAATTCCACAGTTAACTGGTTAAAGATTACGATCCACACGGTGAATATTTAGTCTGATGCGATAAGAACGGCGCGGTGGAAGCGTACGGCTTCAATCGTGAATACAAATTGCCGTTTTGCTTGC